AAAGGTTGAAGTTTTACAATTGGGCACCCCTTGTTTTTTGGCGATTCTTTTTTTACGCCAAGATCGGCGCCAGGAAGGCACAATTTCAAGATGGCCCAAACAAGATTGATTTCAAGATTGACGCAATTTCAAAGAATTGCACAAACAGATCTCAGATGATTAAGATCTGGTTAATACAGGTTCTACTATGTTTAACTCTAATTTTTTATTCCTGTTTATATAAAATTGTAAAAACGAGAGCTTTCTTTTTTGTTGTTTGTAAGTATATGAATATGTAAGTTTATGTTTAAGTAATTGAAGGGATTTTGCATGTCTCTAATGTCAAAAAGTTGCCAAGATATTTGTTTCTATGCTATTAAATTATAAAATTATGTACAATCTGCATTATCTGAAATTATCATCCATTACATTAATTTATGAATGAAAATATGAATTATGTTTTTTAATATCATCTAATTAGAATTTTAAACCTTCAATACATAATAACCATTTTAATCATTTAACCATTAAAAATTTAAAAATCAATTTTTTTACACAGTAAAAAAAAATCAAAAATTTTTATGCTCTGGTACTTGCCACAGGATATATGATTGGAAACTTGTTAAGCTCTAAACATATCACAAGATTTGCTTTATTTTTCCATATTTACTTTGGCCTTGTCTCAGAAAAATATTCTAAAACATTATGGAGCACATTTGCTTGACCTAAATGACCTCCATATCATTTAACGCTATAACTCTTATAAAACAAAGGATTTTAGGATCTTGTGGATTTACTTGCGTCAGGAAACTGTTTCATCATCACCTTCCCATAGTTGTTTAGATTAATGACTGTATGCTTAAAGGAATTTAAGAACATCCAGAACAATCCTTCAAAGGGAAAGGTGGTAAAGAGTTTTATATCAAATGGAGAAAGTGAATCTTACAAAGCCTAGTATCTTCTCTGTTGTTGGACTACACGATGCATGACATTTCTTACCGGGTGGATTTTAAACTGTTTTTCTCTGTAAATTCTATCAATGGCATCAATTCAGGATCTTTCACTTGAGCCTTTCCCATTTCGTTTTTCTTCATGCATTACTGCTGTCTAATATTATGCAGTCTGTCTGTCTAACATTATGAAGTCTACTGCAGTCTGCAGTTACTTATCAAACCATTAGGACTTAAAATTTTTCTGTTTCTGAACAGTGCTTGTACTTTTTCTGCATAGTAACATTAAAAGTATCAGCATTTCTGCCAGAAGATTCCTGGCAATGTCAAATTTCTATCCAATCCAATTTTCCATATACTTTAACCCTCAGACAACTTGACTCGGTAAACATCTGAAATTAAGTAGCCAACTCAATGAAGCATGATTGATGCACAACAGAAATTTGCAGCCATTGTCATAACAGAGAAAATATTCTATTGCATTAACAAGGGTTAATAATTCCTCACTAGCAACATATTAATTTCAGCAAGTGCTTAATAATTTAAGTAATAATAATTTTTTAGCATCTATCTGTTTCCTTTGTTGCAACAGAACTGATTACAAATTCCCAGCTCCAGTTTTATTTTCAAATGCAAATAAATGGATTCAACAAAATAGTGCTTATATGTCCTTTTACACAATATTTTAATAATATATATATATATAGTGCAATTATCGTATATGACACAAAATTTATAATTTTATCATGCTTCTAAATTAATTTATTAGCTTTGAATGCATTACTTTCACTTCTCCCATATTTTTTTTTTTTTTTTTTTTTTTTTTTTTTTTTTCCCCTTTAACATGTTTGGTGAAAAACTTGTGAATAACAGAATAATCAGGGTTCACAGCCTCGTAAATAAACTAACACTGCCTATGTTATGCAGATGTAATTAATTAATTTCAAAATAAAATACATTAAATATTATTTTTACTGCACACGATGAAGCTAATGAAATATGTATGAAATTCTCCAATTTAATTAAGAAGAGAAATAAACTGAAATATAAATATTTGGTCACTGGGACTTGTGCTATATCCATATTAGAGGTTAAAGCAAAATTATATTACAGAAGTCATTAATAAAACATATTTTTTATCAAACAAATAAAAATACCATGAATAAAAATAACTTATACACTTAATTTTAAAAAATATAAAAAACTTTAAAATAAAACTATAAGCATACACTTTTTTTCATTATTAAATATTCAGTTGGATCCAGTTCATCCAATGCTCCTTGAAGTTCTGCTGAATTTTCTCCATCAACTGAAGGCAAGAGGACACTAGCTTTCTCATAACTGAAACAATACATTATATTATTTAATTATGATTTAATCATATTACCACATATATTAAAAACTACAAGTCCAATTTTAGATTTAAAGATGATTTATAAAATTTCAAAATTGAGCTCATTTGCAATGTAATTTCAGACAAGTAACTGAGTGTTATTATTTTTAAATAATCTTAGGCTATTATAAAAGGCATAAAAAAGTATTAAATCACACCCAAATAATAAATGGTAAATCTCACTGCAGCAGATTTAAACATCTACTGATCATTTTCATATCAACTTTAAGCTCATTACCTAGAAGGGGCATATATCTAGTGAATAATGGCAGTTAGGCAGGTCCATGCTATCATTACTACCAGTGACTAAGCAAGCTGATTATATATAGGTTTCATAGTTTTCCTGAGCGCAAAAATAATATGAACCCATTTCTTTTAAAAATTCTTCACAAAGAAATTTTCTAATAACTGACAGCTTCATCTCTAATAACTTTTACATTTAATCTAGAGCTATGTATTAAAATGAGAAAGAGCTACAGTACAAATCCTCATTTGTGTATACATAATGTACCATTAACAATCTAGAGATGCCAACCTTTGAGAAAACCCATCAGTGGCTTTGATAGTAATAGTTAACCAAATAAGTACAAGTTAATGCAAAACTCAAGAATTCCTGAGATTACAGGGAAGGGATTTAACAGCATAAACCATATATTACACTATATAAAAGGCAAATTACTTACAATTTTTCACTAGAAATTAACAATTAAGAAAATAAAGAAATAAGTAGCATCTTCCATGTTTCTCTTCCTTGCTTGATAAGATCAATTATGTTGCAGGTTTTACTGCAGCCAATTTCCAGTTTTCCTAGAGAAAATGATGAAACTGCCTTTGAGGCAGATTTTACTTGAAATAGTTCTGTTGTTTGTTGAATTGCACATAACAACCATGCAGTTGTCATTACTGGCACAAGATGATTTTCTGAAATCTTTTGGAAATGAAGTAAACATAGCCACTTTTCATCATTGTTATTGCTTTGTTTCTATTTTTGAAGAACTTTTTTCCTCTTCTAAACCAAAATGCTAAGTATATCTATCATAACAGCTTTTTATCAAAATACTTGCAAGAATACACATGCATGTTGTTACAGGTTAAAATGTGCTTTAACTTACTGCTTGAATTGACAGTCAAAACTGCCAATTTGGTGCACAGTATTTCCTGAAGTGGAAATAAAAATTTTTTACTTACCAAACCAGTGCATCTTTTTCCATCAGCAGATACACACTGATGAAAACTGACAAGAATGACTAATTCCTTCATATACATTTCAAACTAATACCTCATAATCCTTAGAATATATGAATACTCAAATAACTGTTCAAACCATATGTGTCTCCTGGCATGCCACTAACATCATGCAGATTTACACACCCTAGCATTTCACAGCACCGTTTCAATCAATCATTTGCTCCCTTTCTCATTACCTACAACTAACGATTTCATCTTTCAGTAGAATTGCCTATTTTTGGTGCATTTTTGAGTACATATGCCATAGTAAATAACCCACACACAGGCATACCACATATGGGATTGAGAACATTCAGATTTAAACACTTAACAGTCATATCGCTAAACAGTATCCACTGGTTGTAAAAGCATAAATTTTGACAAGGAGTTTTATTTTTCTTGTAAAATTTGTCACAAAAAGTAATTTTTTTTTTTTTTTTTTTTTTTTTTTTTTTTTTTTTTTTTTTTTTTTTTTTTTTTTTTTTTTTTTTTTTTTTTTTTTTTTTGTTTTTTTTTTTTTTTTTTTTTTTTTTTGTATTTCATTTTTTAAGGTTATATTTCCTGTAAGGGTAGCACCTCCAAATCATAAAAAAGCTGTTCTATAGGTAAGGTTTTTTTTTTTTTTTTTTTTTTGCTATTATTTATTCATAGGAAGGGTGCCTACCTATCAGCTGTAAAGGTAGCTAAACAAATGCTTTCTGCTAATTCACAAACTTTGGCAGTGAATTGCCGAGTCTTCATATGAGTGCAAATTTCATAAGGGTACTTAACTTTCTTCCTTTACATCTCCAAAATCATAAAAAAGTATGTTTTTCATGGTTTTGTAGCTTATTCAGTCATTTCTTTCAAAACCATAACATTTTCCACACCAGGGGTTAACAAAAATATTTACAGAAAATTCAAAAGACATGACTGCTCCACATGAAATCTTTGACACACAAGAATGGCAACAAGCATCAGCCAAATCCAAACTATACCATTACATTGTTTTAAATATTTCTCTTACTCGATCAGCCTTAATCCTTGTCAATCATTAACTCATCCATAGCATCAATCACATTCAAATTCTTAACTGCCTCCCTTTCCCAACCTCTGGAATTGGCCAAGAACCTATCAATCATCAATCAAACTTCCAAACTCCAAGAAATTTATGCATGCATGCTTATTAATCTTTGACTATCTGTTTTGCAAACACCATGAGCTTCAGACAAAGGACCTTAAATGTTCTTTGCTTCAGATGCTCATTTTCTTCAGGATACTAAAATGTTCAGTGTTGGCCCAGACAACAATTCCATAGTCAGGCAGGGGGCTAAACAGCATTTAATCCCATTTGGGAAGATATGCATGCAACATTAGCTCAAAAGATTTAGTAGATTTGATGTTATTGCAATGACAGCATGACTTGAGTCAACTATGAGCATGGGATTTTCTGCAGCAAATTTTATCACTTCCATAATTCTGCAACACTGAGCAGAAATAAATAATCACGGAAAACCCATAATAGTTGGCAGCCCTTAAATTATTATGATAATGCTCTTAAATTATAAATGTTTGACAGATAACTTGCCTGTCTGCCAAACATTGCATGAAGCCATGAAATTAAGCACTTTATAACAAAACTGGAGTTTTAGTTTCTTTTCAACTAAGTTGACATACAAAATGATACAGAATTAAGTCAACTAATGCCTTGGGCATATTCTATGGGCAATGGTAAACAAGAAACAATGAATATATCATATGAACACACAGTGAAAAGTACTTAGTTTATGAAGCATCAGGACATTGAATATCAGTGAAGTAACTTGATCAAAAAAAAAAAAAAACTATCCTCTTGATACCTGCACAGAAGAATATAAGATGGCAGGAAGTAATGTAGTTCTTGATGTTCCATAACACATGCATGATTTCTATACAGAAATATGTATGACAACAAAAGAGATACCAACTGCAATACAGTGACTAGTACAGGGATGGCCAACCCACGGTATGTATGCCACAGTGTGGCACAGTGGAGTTTTAACAGTGGCTTGCGAAGACTTATTGAAAAATTAAAAGATTTGAAAAAATAATATCACTTGCATTAACTCATTCAATAGATATACACATAAAAACATTAGAATAAATATAACTCTTTGAATTTTATTTTAGATTTATTTCACTACAGCGATACTCCAGCACACTACTGTTGTAGGTTTGGCTCAATACATGTTTGTGAACCAATGTTTTCTATTATGAACATAATAAAATCAAAATATCATTCAAGATTAACTGGTATGCACCTAAAACACCTAATTTCGTTAGTATCTTCAAGAACTAATCCTAATACTTTGTAAAAAATTTACATATTCAAAAACCACACTAAGTACTGACTGTTTAAAAATTATTTAGAATTATATGCCTCAAATTATTCATTTTTATACATAAACTAACTGACTGAAGCTTTAAAATTGTTTATTAACAATAAAACCCTGATTTGTAAGCTTGTTTTATTTATTATATTATTTTTTAAATGTCCATCACTCAGACTTTTATAAAAAAAATGTGCATTTTGCATAAAAATCCCATAACCAACCTATAAATAGCATTTTTTCACTTTTTTATATTTTTTAATATGTTGGAAATGGCAAGCATAACTTTTTTTCAGATCGTGGTGCTCTTCCCAAACAGGTTGGCCACCCTAGGACTAGTATATGAATGAGCTGTCAATTTTCCAGAACATATCTTTTAAAAGAAACATGTCAACTGATAGCTGCATGTGATGCTTCATAATTCAAACCTAGCTAGGTTAGACAAACACGCATACTGTTTATAAATAGATGAATGCTTATTTTATAGAAACACAAAGCTGGACCATAAGACAATTCTAATTAACATCCCAAAATAACCATATCATGATAAGCACTCTACAAGCAATTATAACAAATAGGCATAAGAACAAATCATGCACGCACTCCACCTTGATGCATGAAAAATCTAGAGGTACTACTCAAAAGTAAGATACTAGAGGCTAGCAAAATACAACTCTGTCAAAAGCAAGATACTATTCTTGTCAGTCACCAAGGCATACACATACAGCACTATTCTAATAATTTGCAAACTTTGGGAACCAAGGACTGGAGATTTGAGAATTTTGTGAATTACAGGTCATCTTTCTGGATTTTATTTACATATCCCGATTTTATTTTTAACACTGTTTGCAGATAACTTAACATACTTTAGAATTACTTAATCATGATTTACTAAATGCAAAACTATTATATATTTTAAATACAGTTATATAAAAAAAAATTTACCAGTACAAGTGCAAAACAAAGTGCAGAGAAAAAAAGGATAAATGAGAGGGAAATACATTTATCTCTTGAAAATACACATTAAAATAGATAATATAAAGAAAAAAATGTGGTGCATTCAACACTAAAACTACTTTCAAAGTACTTTTATGCTTTTAAAAGAAAGAATTAATAAATAAACACTGCTTGCAGTAAATGGAATAAGATTTTTGCTAAATTTAATTCTTATGTTCCATTTCCATGCAACTAGGTTAATGACACTATCAGCAGTCAACAAAAATTACCAGAACTATTAAATGTTAGTTAATAGTTCTGAATGTTAAATATTAATGAGTTAAATGTTCTTAAGCCCAATTTTCTTTACCATATTTTCCATTTTAGACACCAGAAAAATCTTTACAGATGCTATTTTTAATAGTCTATATTCTTGCTCATTGTGTAAAATGTAAGTTACCCAAGGTAAATTTAAACAGGAATTCATTGCTCAAAACGTTATGGGCAAATAAATTCAGTACATGATACATGTTCAGAATTAATTATAACAGAATAGAATATGTATCCAAGAGAAGGGATTTATCTAAAAAAAACTCCAGATATAAAGAAACTTTCTTTACTCTAAAATGAAAGTAGTGATGCATGCAAGACAATGCTAAATAATTTCAGTAACAAATGAATTCAATAAAAACATGATACAAATGTATATTTTTGTTTAACCCCTTCGAGCCGGGTAGACATGCGCTTATCGTGGAGGCCGGCAGTGTCTTACGCGAGCGTCTGTCCAGGGCCGGGGGCTTTTTTGCTACTAAGCCTAAATCCATGAAATTTCCGAAGTATCAACGCACTGTTTAATAATGCTCTATAGAGTATTTAAACGGCTTATGCTTTATTAGATATTTTTATACTATATACTTTAATTACCTTATTTCTTGTTTAAATGCATATTTTATACATTTTATTTTCATTACTCACCATTTTATGACTTTTAACATTATACATCTAAAAACTAAATATATTACTTAAAATTCTCTTTTCGTATGAAAAATTTGAAAACAGGGATCTACACACAGTCCTACGTTACATTCCTTGCACTCGTAATAACTCATTTGCCATTTTGGAGGATTTTTCCGCGAATGTGAACAAACGAAGCATCGTCGTCTCATTTTCTTATCAGTCTCTTCTGAACAAAGTTTTGGAAAATGTCTTTCAGTTAATCTTTCAGAATCAACATCAGAATTTCAGATTCAATATCTGAAATATTTTGCATCATTTCTGCTATTTCATACTCTGTTAAACATTTTCGACGCTTCGACATTGCAACGGTAAAAACAGAAAGAATTCATGTCTAACAAGATCTAATTATTTTCTAAAAACTGAACTGCAAACTGAAATACCCAACGCTTTAGCGCAAATAAAACTTCTCTACTTAAATAAACAACTACCACATGCGAATAAGTGCGATTTAAAGAGACGTCATAAATCACGCCATTCGGAAACATTTATTTCCCCTTTTGTTTATATAATCAAAAACACGTGTATGCGAGTCATGCTTTTCTCATTTCGAGTAGAAGGTCTAATGTACATGTATCTGAAACCATATGGACATACAGTGCCATCTTGTGGCAGAAATTATAGTTTTTAAAACGTTCCAGGACACTGGCACAAATACGTGACAGTCGGTAGTGCACGGGAAAATGCTCTGGCACGCCTGCGTGTCGGCCGGGAAGTGACTGTGTTCGTTGCTGGCACATAGACGTGACAGTCGGCGTAAAGGGGTTAAAAAGGAAAAACTGCTTAAACTGCTTTTAAATTTGCCATACTGATTTTCCTGAAAGATTAGACTTTTTAAGTTTACATCCAAAGATGAATGAGGATTATATTGAATGTGGATTAAACAGTCACAACCTATTGCAATACTAAAAATATATGACAACTTCCATTTCAAATTCTTGTTTTGATAGGTTCAGGTAACACTTACTTGTGCATCATTTGCAAGATGATGCCCTTGCCTCAATGAGAACTGAACACATGAAATTTTCAATAATTTTTCAATTATTTCTTTGAATTCAGAACATGCAAGACTATTGCAAACATCAGTGGGTAACTAAACAAAGCCAATAACACCAACAGGAATTTAAAGCACTAGTGAACATGTAACTGGCACCGAAAGTTTGATAATGAAAGTGCTTAAAAATAATGGGCAGTATCGCCCAAATAATAAGACAGAAAATAAACATTGCACTTTAAAATTGTGAATGAAAATTAAAAAATCAGTTTGTTACGTACATCCCAATCTAATCTGTATAAGTAACAGATGGTGACACATGACAGTAATATGAGTTGGCATATAAGCATAACATCATATGGCAATCCAAAATACATGTCATAGGATTATTAAACATGGAAATGGACAGAAATTTTATTAACTCTGCTACTTGCTCCCAGGACAATTCTTAGAGGAAGCTCAGCTAGACTTCTGCTGAACACGTGTACAAAACTACAGCTGAACTTAAGAATGATTTTTGTAACAACACACTGAGTGCTAAAATTGATCCTGTTGAGTACACTGAAAAACACAGCTACATGCAGCAGCTTAAACCAAAACCAACTGAATCACATGCAATGAAAATATTTTTGCATGTGTTTATGTGACATAATGCAAAATGATGGCCATTACAACCACCATATGATGGATGGCCCTTTTAAAATGCTCAAACACGGTGCAAAAGTTTTCAACTTATGCATTCATGGAAAAAAGTTTAATTGTCCATATGAAACCAACAATGTCTAATACAGACATGGATTACCTGCTCTTCTGATACTTTTGCAAATCATGCCCAACAAAATATTCATCAAACTTGGTCTGGCAGACATGTACATTTCCCTGATTTTTACATATCATCATTATAACACTGGAGGGTGAGTATGGAGTGGATTGCACAAATAAAAAATTGCTGTGTGCAGTCCCCCACAAGTCTTAACCCCTTAACTGCCGCGGGCGTATATATACGCCTTGCTCAGCCGATGCGTTAACTGCCCCAGATGCGCAGCCGATGCGTTAACTTTGCGAATAATTTTAGGTGTAGCAGCGCAAAGCAAATGATAGCAGTTTGGAAGGACGTATATATACGCCTGGGGCAGTTAACGCATCGGCTGAGCAAGGCGTATATATACGCCCGCGGCAGTTAAGGGGTTAAGTCTCCAAGCTGTTACAAGGCATGAGATGACATGCTCTGATATTGCAGAAGCAATCATTTGTGCAATAATGCTGCCACTTCACATTACAAAAGTCATACCTTCGTGACCAGGGTCAAGATTTTATCAACCTGCACTGCACCCGTCATCAAGACATCTCGAATTCAGAGGGCTGAATAACCAACCATCATCTTGCTGCTCTGATATTTCAACTATAATGAATCACAGAATGTAAAATACAGCCATAAAATTAAGAAGGCATGATTAATTCAGTCTGCAGATTGTTTTAGACACAGTAACATATCAGAACACTCTCACTCTCGACTAGAGACTCTACCATTAGCAAGATCTTTGCATAATGAGGACAATAAATTTAACTTACAATAATTGTTTCTAAGCATTCAATATTAATTGTCATTGTTATTACATATTATTAATAACAGTTTCTCATAGATTTATAATAAATGTGTTTAGTTCTATATGCAGCAAGTAATATGCACTCTAAACAAAAACAACCTAACAAAGCACAAAACAGTCAATTATCAATCCTTATATGGAATTGTTCTAGCAGCACAGACTGTCATCACCCCAGCGGTGACTGAGAACTGACAACAGCATAAATGAACTATAATGAACTATTCTCACTCCACTACTAACAACTATCCCTTACGCAAGTGTTAGTCCAAACATCAGAAATTTCGCAGGACTAATGAATGTCAGGTTTTTATTAAGCTCAAGAAAGTAATACCTAATGAGAGGACTAGTAGCCTTCAATCCTCTTATGCTGGTGACAGATGTTAGTACAGTTAAAATTCATATGTATAACATATCATCAATGATGTAAAAAAGCCAACTACTTTTGTTTCTTATTCCCTAGCACACAGGTGGAAACATATTACTCTCACTTGACCATTAAGCTTCAGCAATTGTTTTTGGAGTCTTTTATGGTCAACACTTTGTTCTCATAAATGCCAAATAATAACTTCCAATCAAATGTGCAAATCTTTACACTATCATTCAAACATTTACAAATATTTCATATGTTGAGATTCTTTAATATTAACTAATGCAAGGGCTATTCAAATGAAAGAAATACAGTAAATCAGAAGGAGAAAAAACTAATTTTACAAACTATTCTGCTATTTTATAACAGTTATAATCTATCATTAAAAATCCTACAGGAATGACACTGAATCTATTTTAAGTACTTACAGTACAATAAAATTTTTTTCCAATTTAAGAACATAATTACTTTTTTTGTGCAAAACTAGGTGATGCAGATTCATCAGTGGGACCAACAGGAGAATGAGTTGCAGGAGCACATGAATTGAACTCATCAGACTTCAAAGTATTCCGACTGCTGGAACTAACCTGAAAATGTCACATAAAAAACAAAGATCAAACATATTATTTAAACAAAGTATTTTAACCATACGATGAAAGAGAAGTAGAATATATATAAAACAATTTTTTTAATTTTGAAGACTTATCATGTATTGCAAAATATGATAATGTAGATAAATACACACACCCATGAAAAATAAAAACCAAAAAGCTTTAAATTTTAAATGTTGCATTCTACTTGCAACAGCTTTACTAATTTTTTAAAGAGATTATTACAAAATTACTTCCGGCCTTATAAATTTGATTTTAAATCACACAGCAAGTTTAAAATCATTTCAAGGACTTCCTCTGTACAGTATACTCAAATCATTATTGAAAAGATGATTCTTTTCATCTTCCTTGTCCTGTCAGCACAAGTTAAAAAATAAAGGTACTAAAAATATTGATGGCTGAATGAGAACTCCTTTTTATTTTACTCAGCTTACAACTTAAAATCTTGTAGCAGTTTCATTTCATTTGTATTAGGGTCCCTAATTAAACAGATAGCTATCAAGCCTACATACAGTTTTCTCAGTGGTTTTAAAAAATGCACTGTGAGAAGAGCAAGTTTAATAAAAGAAACTGGAATTTTTCTACTTCATGTTTAGTTAAAGAAACCATACTATATAAACATAATTATTTTTACAAAGAAACATTTGAAAACTTACTGTTAAATTATATCTATACTGATAAAAAATACACATCAATAATATTCAAACTTTTTTTTGGTTGTTAATATAAATCTCTAACATATTCAATACTATACAAAATATGACTGATGAACTACAGAAGTTCCCAGAAAAGTATGTTTTTATATCACTTGTGTGAATGCTAAAAGTATACTGAAATTGATGCACACAGTACACAATGAAAGTTCAGAAATACAATTTCATACATAAAACTGATAAATATAAAACATACAACTACCATTCTTGATTGGTTTAAAAATAAAAGAACCTCCATGATATGGAAATAACCTGCAACAAAGAAATTAATTTAGGAAGGGAAGAAAAACTTACTCTATTCTTTTTTGGAGGGATAGATGGAGGACTAGCGGCAATTTCCTCTTCTTCTTCAATATTTTTTCCTGATGAAGACTGCATGTGGTGCACATCATAAACAGAGCTTGATTCTTCCGTGCTTGTGATGTAGCTGCTATTGAAAGATGGCTGCTGCATAAATGATAACTCAATTTGCTGCCAGTTAGCTTGCACAACTTTATAAGTATGAACAGAATGACGAAGGAATTCAGATTCTGATGGTTGAGAATAGCTCCCAAACATCTGCATGTATGCCCTAACTACAAAAAGCAATAAAATTAAGTAGCACTACCTAAAATACATAATTTGCAAGTATACAAGATCTTAAAATATGATCATTCTTTCCACAAAAATTATACATTTATTATTACACTATACTTAGACATATATTGCAATAATATAAAATGCCAGACATTATATTATTTTAAAACAAATTAAAATTACAGCTAGACATAAAATTACACTTGGTTAGTAATCTGAGTTTTGAATTAAATTTTACTTCAACTACTTTTACATCTTGCATGCATACATTTGTCACACTGCAAAATTACAGAACCAAACAATTTAAACCTGTAACATATTTAATACAATCATTTCTTATCAATACACAACATTGACAATGCATAATCATCATAACGCAGCTATCTACTTTGCCCATTCCTGAAAGCATTTTTTTAGTTCAAAAAACTGTCCAGAAGGAAGCTGACGAACTCAAACCTGTTTTGATCACAGTTTCATTCAATGGCAACAACTGACTAGTCCATTCTCTGAGAACTTACTTTTCACATTAATCCATTTACAAGCTAAGCATTGTGAATCAAAATGCTTTTGAAGTTTAAACGAAAATGAAAACCAAAAAAGGAAGCTTAACAAGGGATTACACCATTCAAACTGCTCTTCTGAATAAATGTAGTAATATATGATAGTCCAAACTACTTAAACATGTTTTTATATATTTGAAGAGATATAAAGTATACTAACATAAGTGATGGATTTAATATGCCCACAAAAATGCTTTAATTTTTGAAAAAGGAAAATATTTTTACATACTACTTAAAACAGGCAAATATTCACTTTTAAAAAATGTTTAGTTTGATTTGATCTGGAAATGTTGTTTTATCACAGGTAATTCATTTTGCATCTTAGTCAACATGGAGTATTACACAAGAAACAGCAAGTTCAGATTGAAAAATTTCATTACAATAATGGTGAGTGTCACATACAGACTGTCAGCATGCTTTGTGCAATCTTTTGACATGAAAATGCATTTAATGGAACAACAAATAACAGATTGATAAAGAAATTTGAGGCTAGAGGTTCAACAAAAGACATTAAATCACCCTGCTCTCGATCCAGCGCGTTTGTTGAAAACATCACTACTAAGAACGACAGTGTCACTTCAAGTCCCAGAGAACTAAACTTAAGGAGTAAAAGGGCTTAAAGAGGAAACTGAACGTGTTATTTAGTCACTTTGATAGATATGGGAGAAAATGATTATGAACTTTATCTAGAGAGTACAATGTTATAGATCAAGTCATGGAGGCCATATGCCAGACATTACTTTTTAGTCTTAAATCAGAATATTTTTTTCATGCATTGAGGAAGTATTTCATATTTGCATCATTCAATATACCAATCAATTTTGCATGTTTTCTTGGGTTCAAAGGTTTTTTTAGTCTAAATGGATCTTTAGGATGTAAAAGACATTGAACTGAATTTAGTCTTTGCAAAGAAAGTTGTAAAAATATTTTCCAATTCTTAAAAATAAAGCATTTTATTGGCCATATTGAACCTGGCACATTTATTGAGTCATACTTAATATTTCTTACTTTTGCCAGATGAAACAACAGGCAAACCTGGCTCGTAAAGTGAATCTCAAATGCAACATATGTCAATTCATTATTATCGTTTTCAGAAAAGAAACAGATTGGAGTATATAAAACACAATCTCTTAAAATGACTGAAACACAAAACGTCAACTGCCTGTCTTTAATGACCTATTTTGCTAAGCTGATAATATAATGTTCGCCTCCAGAACTTTCAAAATCTTTTAACCTTGAGCTCTCAATATTTATATATGTAAACCACCACAATTTCTTTGTGTACTTACTCTCTAATTGATGGATTTCCTATTTTATTTATTTTTTAGAGGAGAAAATTACAATACACAGCATTTTTGAACACAGGTTAAAAGGAAAACAGCAAATTAAAAAGGCATGCGTACAGGTCCTAATTTTATAGCATTCTAAATTTCAAAGAAGTTATTTTACAGTAATTGCCTTAAATATTATTCTTTTTACTCATACAATGCACTTTATTGCTTCTCCATAACTTGTATACCATTATTATAAATCAGAAGTTTTTAAATCATATGGTAAATTAGATAGGGTAGAAAGATGTGAAGTCAAGAAATAAGATAGTGAATATGATGAGTCAATTTGCTCATGAAAAAGTATTGGGTGCATGCAAGAGTTCCATTCACATCTTAGAAACGAAAGGTGCACTAAGACTTCAAATAAGTTCTGTAATTAGACATAACCTCTTGCCATATGCCTGGTAGTAACTTTATATACAGATAAAACTCCTTTGCTTTATCTCATAATGTGGTTTTTCACATCCTGAATGCCATCAAAAGTCTGAAGTGATCAAAAGGACAGTGGTGGTAGTCTGTACATGCTAGGTATGAGGAATGTGCCAAGTAGGGTAATGCTACTCAAGACAAGATCAGTAATTTCTGGAGTGACTGAAACAGCATGAGATCCGGCATTATAACAGTAAGAAGAAACATTTCTGGCGACAGATAAGTGCTGGTATCTTGGATGTTAGTTTGCTCGGCCTGCGCTGCAGTTAGCAGCATTTATCGCTTGGTTATCGCTTGGTCAGCATTTATCGTTGGTTACTCAAAAGCATCTCTTAGTTTATTATTTGCTTGACATCACTCCAAATACTTAACAAAAGCTTGCCAGGATGCAATCCTTTTAAAGTTAATGATGCAGGCTATGTAATTCAGCCCACAATCCTTTATCCATTTATATAATGGTACAGTAAACATATCTAAAAAATTACTCACTTCTGTGACAAGAAAGTAGGAAACGCATGTGCACATCTCTTCTTGTTTTGCAGAAAGTTAATATGAAACCCATCAATCAAACTTCATGATAAATTCAAGTGCCTACATTCACTTTGAGATTATTTTCCAGGATATCAACCTCATTTCTGCTAGCTTTTTAACAGACATGGCTAACTTCCTATGGTTTGGTTCAAGATGCCTTCAGAATGCACTGATGGATACCCAGAATATGCTTGGCCTTTAAAACTCCAGCTTCTATCTCCAAAAATTTTTAAACAAACCACAACATTAGCTACTGCCAACTGCATCCTCTCTAAATATCTGACAAATTTACAAGTATGCAAGTCAGCCTAAAATTTCAGTTTTGTATAAAATTCATATTTATTGAAAACCCATGCCAATCTATGGCAGCCTTTTTGTCTAATTTATAAATCTTACTTTGATGTATTTCTCTTCCAATTATATTTCACAAACGTTGCTGTAAGCTATGGCTGAGATACTACCTTTATCACACTCAATATTTGCCCTTTAGTAATTTCAAACCATTAAATATATGATTACTGTGACCAACTCAATACCTTTTGAATGCTCTAACTGCTCTATGCTTTAATGTCAGACTCCAATCATTACAATGAAATATGTCATTCAACTATCATTTGCATCTATGAAATTTCATATACACTGAATACATAACCATAAAAGAATTAACTGCTAAAACACTACAAAGAGGCCAATAAAAAAGCAAAGAGCAGATGTGAGTAGAGGAATCTTAATATTTTCCAATATTTCTAAACTTTGTTTTCTTAAGTCTTCAGATGATCGGATTTCAGTATGTAAATACAAAACAGTAAATAAATAGATATATGCATAATTCTAATTTGCATATATGTATTTATTAAGTTTCATTCTTCATTTTATTATTCATGGTTGATAACATAACTTTTTTCAGTTAGTGCAAACCTCAATATTTTAATACTAACTTTTTCATTTATACTACACATATTTGAAATACATATATTCTTTTCCATAATAAGAGCCAAATTAATAATGAAACACAGGAAATAAATAAATAAATAAATACGTTAAAGATATGAGAAGAAAACCGAATTCAGAGATTCTGAACATCATCATATTATATGAAGATGCTTCATACTGTAGTCACGTTCAAGATGTGTAAATAAAATTCATTTCATTTCGCAATCAACATAACTATAAATCATACAGCACAATGCACAGATGCGGCAGAATAATGAAATAATTGAAACAAAAATGTGTTTTACAAAACAATACTTACAAATTGAAAGAAAACAACAAGTTTAAGAAAAATAAACAGTTGCAGTTAGCAAGCTCAATTGTGACAATAGTTTGCTTTTATATAAATATATATATAGAAATAATTAATAAGCAGTCACTGTCTAAGTGAATCATAAACAATTTAATAACTTGACTTCAAAGTGACTTCAAGCACATTTGGTAAAACATTGAGGAAATGAAAACAAGCAATTAAGAAAAATTTCATCGAGTTCATTTAGAAAGACAATATGCCAAAAATATTGCCTACAAATTATTTTCATAAATAAAATTATATAGCAATTATAAAGCAATGTAAATAGGCAATTTTGAACATGTCAATACTTAGCAATGCAGCACTGTTTTGCAACTTGCAAAATTTCCAAGATGTTACCAAATTTCGTCATTTATAAGGATTAATTAACCATTATTAACTAAGAGTGTTTCTTTTGTTCTTTTAATATATAAAATCAAAATTTTTAAGCCAATTTGAAGTCCAAGTTTTGTAGACCTTCCTTTACACTTTGCGGCATGGTGTGCCCGGTCTGGGCACACCTAAAAATTTCCTTCTCTATGCAAAGAAAAATTCAATGAAAAGAGATTTGAAGGTTACTCTGAACCTTCTTTATTTATAGTAGATGGCAGCTCAACACAAACCAGTCCATATATTTTAGCCATGTTTAGTTTTTTAAGACCCTCATTTTTCAAATAAATCTTCCAGATTTTTTTAGGGTATAAAAGGAAATTTCTATGTTATTTTTTGGGCTGTATGCTAATCTCCTTATTCTATATTATTTTTAAATTTTTTACCTTGAAATCTTGCCTAAAATCGAACAGTGAACCAAGGTGTTCCCAGACTGGGCCCACTGCTAGTCTAGGTTGCTGAGAGGCAGCTGTATCTTTGTTTCTCTACAGCTCATCGTCAGCTCATTAACATAGAAAGGTGGGTCCACATCTGTGTTTCATTTCCTGTTTTTCTCTTTCTTCTTCCCCCCTTTCTTTGGGGAGAAGGGAGGTTTGGTTATCAACTAAGAAATTGTTGGGGTGATTTTCTGAAGGTCAGCGATAATTTTATTAGTTGTTTGGTTTTTCACTAGAGCAGTTTTCTTTTTCTCTTTCGCTTCGGTTCAAAGAAGTTTCCTTAGCTTAAAAATTCTGAGTTGAGACATTTATATTTTTATTTTATAGTTTATAATTTCAAATTGTAGATATATTATTAGTTTATTTTTTTCGGATTTTTAATTATTTTCCAAATGGATTGGAGAGGGCTGACCATTTCTAAAGCACTGAAAGTAATACACGAATCGCTTTCAGATAATGAATCTGATATGGATCCCAGCACATATGCAAAACATGCAATATTGGGTTGTACTTTTTCAAAGGTGGTGTCACTTTCTTCGAAAAGTACCACAATGAAAAAAATAGACTAAAGTTTAAATATGAAATGCAAATAATGCAAATATCATATACCCAAGTTACTTTTTTTTTTCCCCATTCATAAGCATGTAATCATCATATAACCAAAAATGAGCTTTTTAGGGGGGTGTAGAGTAGCAGATCTCCCGTGGCACACCCTGGGTAATGCTAAATCAGCTATGGTGTTCAGAATCTAGTGTTTTTAATTGTAGGCAAAATCTCTTACTCTTTTACGCACTTCCCAGCAATGCTCGTTTCAGCACTCTTTTTGAAGCTCTATTCAATCAGCTTCGGGCATACCCACAGAATTAAAACAATAAGTGCTATCTTTGCAAACTTTTACTTGTGTACTCCTCTAGGCCTAATTAAACTGCCTACCTTTTTTTTTTTTTTTTAATCGAAATTCCAACTTTAAAAGGTAGCGTGCCTGAAAGGGTTAATGGCATAGAACTCTAAAGGTGGTTACCAGGCACTGCAAGATGTTACACTTCTGTGTCAAAAGAATATAACAATGAGCTTAAGGCACTATAAATCTTGAAAAACCTACACCAAAACATCTATTAATGTCAATTGGTAGCTAAAAAAAAATAGAAACAAATTAAAACTGTAAAATAAATAGAAAATCAGTAATGCAACAACCTTGAGCTTGGCATAGATCTAGTCAAGATCTCAATCGATTTTGATGGCAAACAGGTACAGGTCCCTCTTCATCAGGAGCAAAGAAATCTGCAAGAGTGCTTCTGATGAAGAGGGACCTGTACTAATCTTGACTAAATCTATGCCAAGCTCAAAGTTGTTGCATTACTGATTTTGTTTTTATTTACCATGTTTCTCTTCACTTTTCATTTTTAAAATTGGTCAACTCCCATCCACTGTTAACAGACTTCAATAATGCTGAGCCTAGAAAATATATGAAGCATTTACATTTAGGTCTTCTGTTGAGTAAGTAAAACATGCTTCCACCCATGCCTTTTGACAAGCAACCAAAGCAAAAGCCCATATTACTCTCAAATAGATTTAAGCATAAAACTCATATTTATATATATCACAGTGCCCTGCTTTCAAAAATCCAAATTTCAATTCATGTAGATAGCATTAAATTTCCTTGAGTGATTTTAACATGATAATCTGTTGCTAGAGAATTCGATTGCTGAAATCACTGCTCACATAAACACGCAGAAATGAAAATATATTTTACAAAAAAACTCAATCAAAAGCATTTACAAAAAGCATACTTGTTCTTTCCTTAGGAGGCAAAGGGGGTGGTTTTCCATTTTCATTAGTTTCTTTACTACCTGGATGATGTGGACATAAAGGAGCGTGACTACTACCTAGCCAACTCTGTGGACTATGTACATGAGGACACTGAGGACTATGACCTTCACATTCAGGCTAAGAAAAATTTTAAAAAAATCAATATGCATTTAAAATTAATTACACAGCAATACATATAATGAAAATAACATTACAATTTAATACTTAAAAACAAAGATTTCTTCCCTCAGTCTAAATTCTCTGTACAGTCAATGGCATTCCAGAAATAAATTAAAAAATAGCATACTACTACATTAACATTATACCACAGTGCATTTCTATAAGCATGAAGAAAATACACAATAAAAAAATTTACAGTATAAAACATCAAAAAGATCGTTTACAGTAGTTATTTCTGAAAAAAGAGGCATGGCTGAAAATGCTTAATGAAAACTGAAAGAGAGTGAGTGAGTCAGATTATTGGCACAAAACCAGAAATGATTATATGGAGTCGTATAAAAACAAACTAAAAGCACACAGTTGTTAAACATTAAAATGCAATACACAATCTTCAGATTAGATCAAGTAATAAAAGCCAGTCTCTTTTAAATAATAAAATTCATTACAATTGACCTCTCTTCCAACTAAACGGTCGAGAGGCAAGTCACAGCTATTAAAATATTTCTGATGAAGATTATTAAAACTTGGACACTCAGTTAAAATATGATAGACAGATAAACATTACAATTTAAACAAATAGGCTCATTTACAGCTTTCAGAAGGCAGTTATGTGTCACTCTAGTGTGACCAATCCTGAGGTGAGCCAAAATAATGTCCTTCTTTCGATTTCTATTAAAATCCCAATGCTCAATTCTAGGCTTTACACTTCTCAACTTGTTGTAAACTTGAACATCCCAAAGTTGTTGCAATTTTTTTTTCGGATCTTTTCTTTGATAACATAACAGATATCTCTAAAAGGGATGAGGCTAGTGGACGGTTCAACAGCAGATTTCGCTGTGACATCCGCCAGCTAATTTCCCTTTATTTCTGCATGTCCAAGAACATAGCAGTACAGGATTTCATATCCATGACTCATTAAGTTTATATGTATCTTCAGAACATCCACTATTACAGAATTCTCAGTGTCGGAAAAAGCTTCAAACGCTTTTATACAAGTCTGTATATAGTATGAACTTCTTGTGGCACAGCTTTGAGGTGTGCAAAAGACTATAATATATTGCAGTTAGTTCAGATGTTAAAACTGAGAAAGTGTGGTGCATATGTCTGCCCTCTATGTGATCTTCAATTACAAATGCCATCCCAGCATAAACATTTGACTTGGATCCATCCGTATATAACAGAATATAACTGCTATATTTGATATATATTTAACTGCCTTGCTCATGAAGGAACATGAGGCATATGTTAGAAAAAAGGAAACACAGAAATCTTCTTTTGTCCAACATTGTTGGTCCGAAAATTACACTTACCGAAAATTACAATTTTTCTGCTGCCAAAATTATTCAAAAAATATCTTACATTGGATAACTGGATTTTCTAGAGGCATTTCACATTCAAAAAATATTTCCATTCTAGTTAACGATCCTAATTCCAATCCATCTTTGCCTTTGGCCTTTACAGAAATTATGTTTTAGTTCTGGTTTCATCAACAGATGGCGGCACTAGCTGATTTTCTGTCCAGGCTTTCTTACCTTATCTAATCATTATATCCTATTTCATTCATTTGCTCTTTTGCAGCTGAGGATGGTGGTTCGGTAAAACCATTGAAACTAGTCCTGTGAAAATTTTAAAATATAATGCTGATTTTTGTTGTTTGACTTCTCAATTAGTATCTCAAAGCATATCGTATCTCCATGCCATATCTTAAGCTTTCCCAATGTCAAAGAATACTCAGACAAGTTGACTTCTTCTTGCAAAAGATTTTCGAATGGATGCCTCTACAAGGAGCATGTTATCTACAGTTGTTCTCCCCTTTCAAAAACTGCTTTGATAAGGTGATAAGATATTGTTCTTTTCCAAGAAGTAAACTAGGTGGCTGTTTACTATTTTTTCAAACAGCTTGCATACACAACTCGTAAGGCAACTGGCCGACAGTTGGAGGGATTTCTTTATCTTTCCCTGGCTTAGCAATAAGAATTACAACAGCTCTCCTCCATGCACTGGGAAAAGTATGCTCCTTCCACACTCTATTGGAAAGAAAGAGAAGGGCAGGCAGTGCTTTTAGGACAGATGCTTCAGCATTTCATAATTCATGCCATCACGACCCGGAGAAGACCTATGTGTCTGCAACAAAGCTCTCTTTAATTCAAGCATAGTAAAGTCTCTGTTATAAGGTTCAGATTTGGAAGAGTTGAATTCAATGGGATTTCTTCTCGAGTGCTGCTTGATAGAGAGAAATGCAGGTGAATAGTTCTGCTGGAAGAAATGGCAGCAAATGTCTCACCAATAGTATTCGCAATTTCTTCTATGGAGCTCATCACTAATAAGAAGCTCTGCCTTTTTACTTTTTGTGCATTTGCTTTGGCCTTTTAAATGCTATATAATGTTTCACAGAGTAGGGTATCTGCAAAAAATTCCCCATGCTTTTTTCTGTTTTTTCAGTGCGTCATGACTCCACCATGGTTTCAAATACTTTGGAATTTCTCCTGATGTTCCAGAGATGGAGAGCATAGCTGCCTGAGTAATAGCAATTGTAACTGCTTCCACTGCATCATCAATAAGCACATCTTCTACCATTTTCTCTGTGAGCTCTGCAGAGGAGAAGTCCCCAGTCTGCCCTATCGAGTATAAACCGAAGGAGTCTCGACATGGGGTTTGCTCCTCTTCGTGCAAAAGATACAAGAATGAGATAATGATCACCATTGTAAAGATCACTTCCAATACTTAAATTGCAGAATGGCAACAGAGATGGTGAACAGATGGCTAGATCAAGAGCATGGAATGTCCTTGTAGGTTCAATCCTGCCCATTATTCAGGAGACAAAGGCACTGATCTTCCATTATCTGCTCAATCTGTCTTCCTCGTGAATTGGTGTGTTTGCTTCCCCACAACGGACTATGGCCATTACAATATTGCATTGTGATAAAAGGCTCAGGCAGCTGCACCCCAAAGTCATTTAAATCCCGCTGATCAATGTGTTCATTTGGGGGAAAATAAAGAGAATCGACTGAAACAACAATATGAAAATTTACTTGTACAGCAACAACTTGGAGAGATGTCGTTAAAGGAAAGGAACTTAATGGATAGTTCAGTGAGGTGAGGAGACCTACATCTCTTGGCACGCTCATCTGCAAAGTTATTCTACCTGACGAATTTGATGTCGAGGAAATTTCGATGGAAACCACGACAATCCCATGAGACAAGGTAGGCCATTATAACTGATGTTTGTTCTTCCTGTGTTGCATTTTAGTTTTGCACGAAAGCAGATGTTTGGAAACTTTCAGTCCCTCCTTCACTTCCATACTATCTGAATCCACAGATTCAGAAATCATCCTATTGTTGGGCTTCTATTTTTGTTAACTGTTTTTGGAGGGATATTTTTTGGTTTGCTTGGAATAACTTATTTTCTATGACATATTTTCCTTTTTCTTGCTTGCAGGCTGTTGAGTTTTATTTGGTGGAGTCTGTAATTATTGAAGTTTGGGTGGCAATGGTATGAGTTGATTTAATGGCTTTGGCATATGATTTATTTGATTGAAGCTGTGCACTTTGAACTAGTCTTCTGGCTTTAAAATATGAGATGTTCCTAGTTACTTTTGCTGTCTGTACTTCCTTTTCTGTTTTTCATTTTGGACATGAATGGGAAAATGCTGGATGGTCACCCTTGCAATTTATATACACTGCCGCAGTGGTGCAATTATCGCTATCGTGGCCAACTGACGAACATCGAGCACACGTCAGGTTCCCACAACAAGACATCTTTGAAGGAAGAAACGCTGACACTGGAAGCATCGCATAGGGTTTGGAATATAAGGTCTTATCAGGGTTGCCACTCAAACAGGAGAATGAAATTCCCTGACTTTTCCAGGTTTTCCAGGTGTGTTTTAAGAAAATTCCAGTCTATCCACGTTGGCTGTGCTAAGAGGTAATTAATTATGGTATTACCTGTGAACACAAAAATTTGCCAATTACATATGACTTATATATATAATTCTCCAAAGTATTACTATTTTAACTATAATAGGAATTGTTTTTTTCACTGAAGATTGAGATTAGAACCTGCCCAATCTAGATTAAAAAATGTCTTTTTTTGCAGACATTTTGCAGCTAAATGAAAGAAAGAAATATATTTAATGATATTTTTAAATAAATTCAGGTATTTTATATTTATTCAGTAGCATACATAAACAAAAAATACGTGCATTAAAATTCGTGATGGTATGTCATCATACTGCTAGAATTAATTTCAGAATTATGCCAGAGAAAATTTCCTGAAATTTAAAACCATTATTTACTAATAATAAATAAATTTAGAGGGTTGAAGCAACATTAAGTAATACAAATAACATAAAAATAAAGATAATTACTTAAAAATTGAATTAGAATAATCAACGATATTTTAGCGAATATAGTTTATATTTAATGGTTAGCCTAACTGACTGATTACCATTTTTTTTATTTTACTGCAAAATGACAAATAAGGCATTTATAAAAAAGAAAAAAAAGGTTTAATAGATTTTGTGGTAAAATCCTAGTGTACAGTAAGGCATTAGCAAGATTCTGAAATTTATCGCCAACACCAAAATGACCCATTTACGGCTCATCATAATGTCGCCAAATCCCGTGTGTACCATACATTAAAAAGAAAAGGTTTAAAAGATTTTGCAATAAAATCCTAGTATACACTAAGGCCTCTAGGCACGATTTTGAATATTGCTGCCAACACCAAAATTACCCGTTTACTGCTCATCATTATGTCGCCAAATCCCGTGTGTACCGTACATGGATGTTAGAATAGAATACTGAGGTTATTTTAACCCACAGAGTATAATGATACATGTTCTAACCAAAGTTCTCCGTCTCATTATACTCCGTGTTCTAAGCAAAGAACGTCTATATAAGATGGAAAGGTTCCATAGAAGTAATGCTGCTAGAAAGCGGAGGGAAAATTCGCCAAGGGATTTGGTGACAGAATCTGGCAGTCAGAACTTCCCTCTCTGTGATGTGTACAGGAAATTGAGCAACACGTGTTAAGAAGAAACATTCTTTGACAAAACGTTTCTTCTTTGATTTTTTGCAATAATTTAAACACGGATTTTCGAAGGTTTTTTTTTTTTTTTTTTACTCAAAATAGCTAATCCATTAATTAATTTACTTGCACAAAAAAAATATTTTCATTTGCTTTAAAGCTTAAAGAAATTTGAAACGATATTCATTTTATGAACTCTTGATGACGTGACCTTCGAACTTCAACACTGGCTTCAAGCTTTGGCGACAGATATTTCGCACATACGCAGCTGTTTCCTTCTACATTGGATCGGAGCCACTCCTGTTGCAGAGAAGTTTTCCTTCTTAACGATACATATTCTTGATTCTAACTTCCGTGGTACCGTATACTAGGATTAAACCGATTTTACGCATGCGAAAATAAGTATTTTGTTTAGTTCAACATGCACTGCACATGCACATACGATTCTCGAGGTTACTGGAAACCAAAGTTGCTGGAAACTTGCTTTTCCTTTCTAAAAGACAATCTAATTGGAACTGCAATAATTGGCTCTATGCCAGCTGCCCGAATAACGCTCACGCGATACATTAATTCGCCAAGAAAATGATCGCTTCCAACATCAGCGCAAAACTCGCTTTTTTTGGGGGGGATCACCTTATGAAATTCCCCGACTTTTCCAGATCTTGACTAAATATTTAAATTCCCAGACTTTTCCCTGAATTTTTTTGGTCAATTTTCGAATTCCCTGACTTTTTCCCGGTTTTCCCTTGACTTTTCCCGGTAGCGTGGCAACCCTGTCTTATGGGGCAATTAAGATATCCAGCCTTGATATTCTTTGGCAGGTCAGGTGACTTGAAGGTCAGGATGGCGTGTTTCGTGTCAATTAACTAACCTTCCTTATGCATCTTGCTCCACGTTGTAGAACAATATTTTTGTCAGCTAACTCAGAAACAAACTCTTCTTCAGGAACAGAGAAGAAGGTCGACTTCCGAGATTACACCACAACAATAATTCAATGTCTTATGCGATGTTACAGTGGCATTTGCTTGCTCAACTTTGGTTATTTGAAGTAACGAAGCAGACTGGGTGGCCAAAGTTGTATCAATAAGCAAGTATCCAGAGCGGAGATGCTTTATATTTCTGGGATCACCAATACAAGAATGGATATATTTATTTATCACAAAATGAGATATCTTTTGCAGCTTACCAGAAGGACTAGAGACAACAAGGAAATGGGACTATTGTTAGGATTATTCGCATTTGCATCTGTACATACTTAGCAGATTTTTCAGAGGAACTAGCACTCTGAGCGACAGGACTATCTTCAAAGTCTTTAACTAAATATATTTTGGAATTAGCCATATTGAAGAGAGAATTGATTTGGACCTGGCAGCCCCACCCACCATGGAGTCCAACAAGGGGATGCAGAAATCTGCACTAGGGTTAACAGGTCTATATGCAATCTGAAGCCCCAATGGTCGCTCTTCCAAAAGCTTATCCCCAAGCCACTGTCTTTAAGAACAAGTGACCAGCTTATTGACACTGGCAGGGTCAACTAAGTGCCTCCCATTTCAATTTGAAGCAGAGGCCAAAACAATGTGTTGGGGACAGTACTTCACCCCTCAACTACCAGGACCCTCCTTTCCAGCCTTACGGGTCACAAATCATGGCAAACACATAGGTGGTTTTCTCTCTGCAAGAAACTCTACACAAAGGGATATGACAGAATCTCACTTTGAGCTCGAACCTTCGAAAAAGGAAAACCACCCATCTCACCAAGATAGTGATCCCTTAAAGGGCTAAGGTACCTCAGGATAGCCACATCCGTACTCCCAGAAGGTGAGCCCCAGAGGGAAAAAACTGAAAGAACATTTGTGTATTAACAACTGAATACAAGTGTCTCTTTACATCCTGATTATTTATAAAACAACATATGAATCATAAAAACACATGAAATTATCTCTAACATAATTGGAGTAATTTTGCTCTCAAGAGTAAATACAAAACTTTATAGCAATATTAATTGGGAACCTTATATGAAAGCAAAATAAAAAAGGATCACTTATCTTTATAACTTAGAAACATAGAGATCTGAAAATAATACATCATATGAAAATACATTCTAGGGAATATCAAAGATATAAATTAATTAAGAATTAAAACCTAAAGCCTAAATCAAATAAATCAAACTTTCCTTATATACTTTACCTAATTCCTTTAAAGGAACACACATCACAGAAAAACAATGATTCACAATAACAAACACTCTAAAACACTCATAATAAATTACAAATCCATGCTATGACAGAAAAAAAAAACCTGATTCCTTACAATAACAAAGACATAATTTTCAATTAAAACTTTCTAAATATATTCTAGTTGCTTTAAAAGTTGCTTACATCTAAATCAGATACAAGAAACTGTGGCATATTGTCATATTGGGAAATAGTGAGATTTCTTAACTTGCGAAGCTTAACTGGCAAAGCAGGAGGAGGTTCACTTTGACTGTTAGTTGATAGCTGAAAACTAGACTCATTACTTTGAACACGGATTTCATTTACTGACTCCAAAAATTCTTGTGTATTTTCTGAAACACCATTTGAATGCAAAGATATAGAAGTTGATGCAGTTGTCATAGTAGAGGTATAAGAAGAAAGTTCACAATTATATGTTTGAGATGTAAAACCAGGAAGAAAATGCTGTTTGGAGTATAAAAACTCTTGTGTATCAGAGCACTTTAAATATTTATACTTCATGAAAGATAAATCATCTACTGAATTGTTTAAATTTGAGTCTAAACTTGAAGCTGACGATTTACTAATTGGAGTTAAGTTTTCAGGAGACTGGCTACATGGACTAGTCCAATCCACAGTGCACAGTGAGTTTAACTCTGTATTTATAGAACCACAACTGCCACACAAATTGCTATTATCTGTCACTGGAATTATTCTAGTTTGGTCACAATTCACAGATGTCGCATTCACAAGCTTCTTTTTGGGTGGTAAAGGAGGAGCAGAATCTAACTGGAAATCGCAATTAAGAATTGAATCTTCATAGCTTGAATTGCTACAAGAAAAAATAATTTAGATCAATAATACAACAAAGAAATACTAAAGCACATTGTTTAGCATCAATTTTGAGAAAAAGCTACGTGTACAAACTAAAAATTTTCAACAAACAAACTCATACCACACTTCTCATTTACTATAACAATACATATTATGAAATACAGGAATTATTAAAGCTGGTAATTTATTTCAAATTGTTAAATAGAAATATTGCAGACTCTTACTGTTTATTTTCACTCATTTTGTGCATTGCACTTTGAAAGACTAAAGTAATTCCCATTAGAAAATGAAATGCAGCATGGTCTGACTAAGCATCATAACAAAACATTCTTTCCTGATAACATACCAAATAAGTTGTACTGTTCCTATTCTCGCCATCAGGTGGCGGGCCATACTACCTCCTGATTTATTTACGTCTGGACTAGAGATCAGGTAGAAGAGAGAAAATGTCCTAAGGCAACACTACTGTGATAAGATCTTTCAGCACTGAGCCAGCTAATTTACTGCTTCTCATTTTATAAAGACAGCTGCAATTATTTCTAGACAGCGATGCAATTTTCACTGAAATGTTCCAAGTTTTCCCCCAGTAAATATTGTATCAGTAAGGATCATAACCTGACAACTGATTCAGAACAACAGTAAAAATGAAAGATCTGTCAGGTAAATGAGATTTGTTTATTTATTTATTTAATTACAAATTTTGGAATTTCCTGACGGGACATTAATGGCACCAAAACAGGAACAGTGGTCTCAAGAAAGTTATTTTGAAGTAAAAGAATGCACATGAACTTCTAATGCATGAACAGAATAATATTCCATATTAAATCATATTAGAGTTGATGATGTATGAATAAAATTTACGAGAAGAAATCTTAATAAATAATGATGTTCTTTGATTGATGGCATAAATGAATGAAATATATTCTATATTTATGGAGATGTTTATTTTAAACCATATTGAATTTTGAGTAGACATGTTCTATATTGATGAAATGTTTTATAATTTTGAGTAGATGCATTCCATACAGATGAAATGTTTTATAATATTCAACAGAATTATTTTCTACAGGAAAAGTTTTTTTTTTAACAATCTGAAGTTAGAGATGAAATGTATTTATTATCTTATCTAAATTTCTTTCAGTAATTTGTTTCCATTTAGTATACTTTCGATTTATGAATATTTGTTAAAAGGGAAATAAGCCTAAGTTACGGATCAGCTAACTAAATTGCATGGCTCTTATAAAGGTACTTCTACAAGATTTGCAGAAAATGTGCAGGATGTTTCTAAATTATGCTGATTCCTGTGCTCGATTTTTGGCACAGTTGCAAGAAAAAATATTCTAAAATAGAATCCCTTGATTAAGAAATTCTTAGCACACTGTGGGCCAATGAGAGCTGTTCTCAGAAAATGCTGGATGATGAAATCGAAAGCGTGGACAAGAACAGTGCTCATTTATTGACTGTAAAATTAAACCTGAATGACGAATGAATTCGGTTCAAGCACAAATACTTGTAAACACGTTTACAAAGCTTACCTCTCAGTTGTCAGTGACAACTAGCATTGTAATTTTGATGTTCTTAACCAGACTACAATTTGTCAAACTATGCCTCTGGTCACACAACTCTGTGAAGATAATTTGTCCAATATGGGGATACATTTAGAAGACTGCCTTTCCCCTATAGAATTTCTTTTAGGTGCAAATGTAGCCAGTAAGCTAATGACAGGAAAACTGAAAAGACTTAAATTTGGCCTTTCTGTTGTGGAAACAAAATTAGGTTGGATGGTTTGGGGCCATACAGAGGAATGTTTGGAGCAAATGAAAACCTTAGTTATTTCATAGTTAGCTCCAGATGTAAGCATTGCAGAGCTGTGAGAGTTTGATGGCCTTGCAATCAGCGATCCTGTTGAAAGACGGTTATAATTAAAACTTGAAGAGGTAACACATTTTATAAAGACTTTAAAAAGAAATGATGATGATGGCCGATATGTTGTTTCATTACCATGGATAGGACACCAAGTTCTCTCAAATAACAATGTTGTTGCTAAGAGGAAACTGAAATCAACTGTGAATGCTCTAAAAAATATTACTTGAAGATTATGAGGATATTTTGAAAGAATGGCTTTGTGAGAAAATAATCAAAGTAAAACCCGATGAGTTAGTGAAGACAAGTTGTCACTAACTCCCACACAAAGTAATAATTAAAGAGCATCCGACGATGACAATTCAACCTGCTTACAATACTTCCACGAAAGAAAAAGGTAGCTCATCACTTAATGATTGCCTAGTTAAAGGCCCAAACTACATCAAATTAATCACCCAGTGTTTTGAATAAGTTTCATTTGAACAAGTATGGAGTGAATGCAGGCATTAGGAAAGTATTTTTGCAAATAGGAATGAATGAAGAAAATTGTGACTGCCTCAGATTTCTGTGATGGGACGAGGGTGTCTCCTGTTTTCGTTTGACAATTATTCTGCAAAGGAATCATTATATCCTGCAGAAATTAATAGAATAGAAACATAAAGAATTAAATTACAGGGTGTCCAAATACTGATGAATAACATGTGGGAGAGGTATTGGATACTGAAGTGCAGAAAATCCATCTGACAAGTAATGCTGCATTGTATTAGATGCAAAAGATTTACCCTGAACTCTGTTCAACCAAAACTCCCTGCTTTGCCTGAAGATTGAATTAGAGACACAGCCATTCAAGGTTACCCGTGTTGATCTAGTCGATCGCTTACATTTGAAACATGAAGGAAAATGTTGGACTATGCTGTCGGCTGCGGACACTTAGCCAATGGGACACTTAACTGACACCAGTTAGCCGACAAGATATTTAGCCGACATGGACACATTTGAAACATGGAGGAAAATGTTGGACTATGCTGTCGGCTGCGGACACTTAGCCGACAACCACTTAGCCAACGAGACACTTAACTGACACCAGTTAGCCGACAAGATATTTAGCCGACATGGACACTTAGCCGACAGGACATTTAGCCAACAAGGACACTTGGCCGACAAGGACACTTCGCCGACACGGACAGTTAGCAGACATGACATTAAGCAGACAATAAGCCTCAATGGTTTTAAATTTCTTATACTTTCACATCTCATTACTACTTTGCTCAACACATCACATTACATTCATTCCCATAGAAAGTCGTTTTGCTCCTCCAAATAATGAAATTTTCTTTCCCTGTCAGGAAATAGAGTGATTCACCCTACTCCTCGCCACACTGGAACTACTTTCTTATCTAAAATGCTATTTACACCCTCAGAATGCTATTTACAGGTTAGGCATTGCATATTTATTAATCTGGGATAGGGCTCCGGCACGGGAATTCGTACCACATTGGCTTGTGGCCGCCTAACAGAAGTAGGTTTGGTTTATGCAATTACGGCAAAGCTAGAAGGCTATCTGCCTAACAAAAGGGATACCTTCATGGAGGACTTTGTAAGGAAAAGCGGCTCGTATACCTGTTGCACATGGGGAAAAACATGAAAATACCCATGCAGCCTGTCCATTCGTGTGATTCGAAATTCGGACCGAACTGCCAGTGTTCAATGACGTCACCGCTCGGCCACTTCTGGGCATAACAGAAACAGAGTGACCATTTAATATATAATCAGTCTCTTCCAATAAAAATTGCCTTTTTAGTCTAGAACTTTATGAATGCATTCAGGAAAATGGGCACCAAAAATTTCCCTTATTACCATGTAGCTACAACAAAAACGAGAAAGAGAAGGAATGAAAGAGAAAAAAAAGTTAAAGCTTATGAAAAGTTAAAGGAAAATTTATACATTTTTAACAGATATTGAGAATGTTACGTTTTATGAGAAAAACATGAAACAATATAACATATTATATTGAAAATTACACATCGAGTCTTTCAAAAAGCACAGTACATAATATTATCTAGTTAAGTGGCTGATCTAGTTAAATCTAGCTCTGATAGATGGCACCACATTACGGTGAAATTTCAGGATGTGTCGCTTTGCTCCGCCCTGCTTGGTGCTCCTCCTTCTGCAGATTCCTCCGATTTCTCTTCGGAGGTTTTCCAACGTCCGGAATTTCATATCAGCAACGTTTTCGACATATGAAGAGTGAAAATGTAGATTTTGCAGAAATCTTATGAATGAAATAAAACCTTAAAGAATATTTTACTTCTAAATTAAACATAATGCACCAGTTTAGTGCTATAAACTGTGCAGGCAAGCCTCCACATTTATTCAACATCAAGTCTATTCACTGCGACCGCTCAATGACAGAGCGAGTTTGACCACTACAACCGGTTTTTCTCTCTTCTGCTGCTAGACTCCAAAGGTGCAGGACAGGCTTCTCTCCGTCCTTTCTGCGGATGATGCGTGTCTGCAATTTGTTCTTTTTCGTGCCTTTCTGATGACCATCTCCATATAGTTTAAAGAGAATGCATTTTGAATAGAAATCGGTACTGAAGATTCATTCTGCAGTAAATTAATGAAGTTCTACGACTTGAGATATCCTCGAAAGGAATTCATGTGCACATGTTGCACCTTGGTGAGAGAATTGGCCTTGTGTTTCTACAAAAATATATTTGAATAACCAGTCAACTCAATTTCCTTCGTTATAAAAATTGAATTTTGTTATCATGTAACTTTGTGTAATGAAGATGAACTGAGATTTACTTAGTTGGAATATTACGCATTTCTTTCAAGAAAGGTTAGGACTCAAAATGGTAGGACTAACATGTACTGCAGTTGCTTTACCACTGTCTATTATCTTCTGTCTGGCAATGTTTTCTTGATTTATACTAGTATTAATTTAAATTTCACGATGTCTAGATATAATAAATTTCTCATAATTCACATTATTTGAAGTGTCATCCTTTGGGGGTAAGTTACTTTAATTCCATATTTTTTTTTTTTTTTTTTTTTTTTTTTTTCAGATCACACATTTCATCCTGCACGTTATCCAGTATTTCTGGGTTATTGCGCACACCACCCATTTATTAT